CATCTTTGGATATGATTGAGCCCTCTACAAAAAATCTCCAACCTTTGAATAAAAAAATTTTGACAGGTAAACTAGTCTCAGACTAAGATCTATATAATATTCCTAATACTTTTTATCATTTTTTATCCCCAAAACTCTTTTAGGTTTTTCCTCCAGAGATTCTGCAGCTGGTCAACTTGGTTTCACTAAAACTAAGGAACAATCCTATAAAAGAAATTCCCCATGGTATGTAGGAAAATGGCCATCTCTTTACTGTCCATTAATACCTCTGGGAGTATGCAGTTTTGTGACTTTTTTGTCATTTAAAAATGTACTGTGTGATTAATTTACTGATCTCAAACCTCTTTGGAATTATCAAAAGTTATTTAGGATACTAGATGCATGAAATTTTAGGATAAAGTTGGGATACACTTAAAGAGGCGATGATTACATTGCTCTAGATTATGTACCCTACAGGACAATTTGTCAAATGCTTCAATTTTTGGCCCATTTTATTTTTGTTGGTCAGTATGGTTGTCTGAAAGGTGGACAACTCCTCTCACACTATTGATCTTTATCCGATAGTAATTTTTTTACCTTCCTGCTTTTTTTTTCCTTGTAAGAGTAATTTATTTTGTACTTTCCTGCCTTGAAGTAGTATGTTTAGGGTTTTCTGAAACTGCTCCAAATAAATAAGATACTTGCAGCTTATACAAAGATGAAATTTATAAAATTAAACTTTTCATAAGATTGTGAAAGAGGAAATAAATAAGAGCTGTATATAATTCATTCTGTATCACCAATTCCAACTATGAATTTGTCTCACACATTACAGTTAGGTGGTGAATACACTAAAGATGAATCTGTATGCTACTTTGTTAATCTGAGATTGTGATGTAACCATTTCCAGGTATAAAAAAGCTGAAGAGGCTCATTGTGTTTGAAATACCCTTCAACCTCCTTACATCTTTACCATCAAGGTATGCTTTTGTTGCAAAGAGTAAATTCTCTCTCTATCACTTAAACTTCAGGTTTTGACTTCCCTTGCTTAATTCTGTTGTAATATTTTTCAATACTACTTTTTTCTTGCAACATATAATTAAATTCTCCCTCTGTCACTGAAACTCCTGGAATCCAGGTTTTGACTTCTTTCACTTTTGTTTTAATATTTGTCAATACTGCTCCTTTCCAGCAATATTTACCTTTATTGTCAACAAATTTCATATCTTTTCTGTTTGAACATTTACTTTTGAACTCCTAAACTTAGATTTAATTGTGATTTTGTTCAAAAGTCATTTCTGAAGGTGCATGATGTGAAAGCAAAATGTCAAGTGCATTAAATTGGTTTATCAGCTGTTTTGGCATGTTTGTCACTACAGAATGCCCTTACTTTCTTGTCTTTTCTTGTGTACTTTCTTCTTAAAAAAGACATACCTGTTTGAGTTCAGATAGGTTTAAAGGAAAGTTGCTCTTTACCTAAGAAGCCCATGCAGCCAGAGCTTATTCCGGTTTCTGTAGCATGAAGTGACTGAAACCGGAATAAGCTCAGGCTGCATGGGTTTCTTAGGATAGGATGTTGGATAGGATAGCATGTCAGTACTTTGTAGGTTACCAGCCCCTTTTCTCCCCCCCCCCCCCTCCCAGGATTCTATCAGGATTTCCTCTATACCCCTGGATGAAGAGAGGCACTGTGACAGTAAAGCATCTTGTCCAAGAACACAACACAATGGCCTGGCCAGGTCTTGAACTGTCTTCAGATAAGCACCCAGTTACTAATAGCTGTGTTATGTCTGTAGTCTCTTCCAGCTGAAACATCTTGAGCTTCTGGACCTGGCCTACAACCTGCTCTCATTTATTCCTTCAGACATTGGAAACCTAAGGTATGTTTGCCGTTTCCACCTCATAGTCTTACAACTAAAACTGACCCCTGAGAGTGACCAGCATCTAAATTCTCCCAGCACTACCTCCCCCGTATCACACATTAAGGTCATGAGAATAAAGGAAATGATTACTAGCTGGATAAGCTCTTGATTGTTATACAAATTCTCCTTGTCAGCTCCTTAGGAAATGTACTGAGAGCAGTATAGAGAATGTGCATACTGATGTTTTGATGTAAAGGGTTAAAATATTCTTTTTTATACCCTTCCCTTGTTTACATATATAGTTCTCTAAGGGAATTGAATCTGGAAGGAAATCAACTTGGAGCCTTGCCAGTAGGAGCACTGCATCTGAACTTGAAGTATGTCAGAATACAGAATAACTTCACACATCCACTAATGTGGCGAGAGACAGCTAAAAATCAGCCTCAGGTAAGACGAGAAGTACATAAGGAAAGTTTTGAGATGAAGGGTAAAGCTAAATGAAAAATTTTTAAAAAACATGAGGAAAACCCGGGCGAAAAGGTTGTTTAACCTGTATTGAAGGTAGATGTTTTTTCTTTGTCCCAGGTCTGTTATCTTTCACTATCTTCCCTAACCTCACGGGTGCAATTTCAGTTGAACTGAGGCGAGCGCGAAGTGCAAGTCACGCGTAAGGGGAGTTTTGTGCTCCTTCTCTCGCTCGTGACTCTCAGTTCCAGTTCGCCTCGCGCTTGCCTCCGTTCGACTGAAAAATCTAAAAAAATTACGTCCATTCTGCAGGCTATTTGAAATTTAAAGAGGCCGAATTGTACCAGAATTGAGTTTGGACCATGGAAGTTTACATTTATTTACAAGAAGCCAATTCCGCTTTAGTAGTGATGGACTATACATTCTGAACCTGAGTTTGGTTTGTTTTTCGTTGCAGCGGCTCGGAGACTTGGCTGCTTTAGCTGTGTTTGGACAAGGACTACATATTAAGAAACGCGATTTACCGCCG